GTGGTGTTTATTTGATTAGTTTAAGAAAAAACAGACTGATTATTCGACCCGATTGAAAAATGCATCTATATAAACAGACTGATTATTTGAATGCATCAGAAATCCTTCTGTTCCTAATTTTCTTTTTCGTCCGAAACTAGGATTTTGGTGACATGTTTTATTCTGATCTGGTACATGAATTTATTAAACCAAAACCTGGATGCATGGTTTCATTACACAAGAAAAAACCTGCTGTCAATTGGTCCTTGAAATCTGCGAGATGATACTTAATTTCAAAAGGATTTAATTCCACGCAATTTTATTAACGCGAGGAGACTTATCACGTGACATGACGTCAGCAGCAGAGGAAGACCAATGAACTACTCTGGATAAAGATATTCTTAACGATTTCATCCATGTAAGGAATTATTTTTTTATATATATATAAAAAAGAATGGAGACTGGGAATGAACAAGTCACTGACTCACCTAGTAGAGTTACTGCAACATCCCATGATGTACAATTCTTTCTGGCCGAATTCTTGGCTCCTAGGGTAATTTGACATCGACCGGCTTGTTACCGTCACGTTTATCTCCAGTCACGGAACTTCTCCACTTCAAACGAGAATCTACGATATTTCCTGTAAGTTATCGTAGATAAGCATACTAATTTTGGTTCACATTCTAACCTCCCTATGACGTAAGGTGCATCTTTAGAGCATCGTCTCGACCTTTGAACTGGTTACTCGTTTATCACTGCTGTTTCACATTTACTATCTCGTTGTTATGAGAGCAATACTCCGATTTTAAAAATACTTTCATCAGAGCGAAGCATATTGTACTTTCGGTCCCATATACGGATCAAGACTGCGGTAACGTCGCGAAAAATTTATCCTATAAACGAAGATTTCTCTCAAAAATGAAACTTCGTTGTTACATAAAAAAAGAAAAACGTTACAAGTTCGAATAAACGATAAGCCTACTAGAAATAAGGATGATCTCCAGTTTTACATAGAACCCAATCATTGCTCCGCGGCGCCATTTTCTTTTTGTTTTGCGATGTCCCATTTTTTAAAGCACGATGAAAACCTATTGTATTTTGTATTAATTTAGCGTAATATAGATGCATTTTTCAATCGGGTCGAATAATCAGTCTGTTTATATAGATGCATTTTTCAATCAGGTCGAATAATCAGTCTGTTTGTATACGTAGTTATGGAAACGATATTTAAGGTCGCCATGCTTTCAATTGTTATGTTATTCTGTAGAAAGTGTCACACTCAGATCGTGGTAACGTTTATTTGTTGTTTTATAAATGTTATTCTGTATAAACTGTCACACTCAGATCGTGATAACGTTTATTTATTGTTTTATAAATGTTATTCTGTATAAACTGTCACACTCAAATCGTGGTAACGTTTATTTATTGTCTTATAAATGTTACTCTGTAGAAAGTGTCACACTCAGATCGTGGTAACGTTTATTTGTTGTTTTATAAATGTTATTCTGTATAAACTGTCACACTCAGATCGTGGTAACGTTTATTTGTTGTTTTATTAAATGTTATTCTGTATAAACTGTCACACTCAGATCGTGATAACGTTTATTTGTTGTTTTATAAATGTTATTCTGTAGAAAGTGTCACACTCAGATCGTGGTAACGTTTATTTGTTGTTTTATAAATGTTATTCTGTATAAACTGTCACACTCAGATCGTGATAACGTTTATTTGTTGTTTTATAAATGTTATTCTGTATAAACTGTCACACTCAAATCGTGATAACGTTTATTTGTTGTTTTATAAATGTTACTCTGTAGAAAGTGTCACACTCAGATCGTGGTAACGTTTATTTGTTGTTTTATAAATGTTACTCTGTATAAAGTGTC